TTGCCTGCCCTCCACCTCGTGAAGGCGGGTTTGGCCCCATGGCTCTCTCTGGTGAAGGTGAAGATTTGAGAGGTGGGACCGTTTGCAGAGCTCTCTTTCGCTCTGCCATGGCAAGGGGTAGCTGCAGGTCAGCCTGGTCGCAGAGTGACGAGACACAGAGCAGAGCCTCTAATGCCCCCTGATCAACACGTAGCACAAGCAACGAATAAACTCTGTTGCTACAGGCCACTAAGATTTGGGGTGTTTGTTACAGTGACATCGACCTAACTTATCCTTACTAATGAAATGAATTGTGCTTTTATCTTGACACTCCATGCTGTTATATAGTTGTTTTTTTAAAGTTTGTTCTTAAGTATTTTATTGTTTTTTAAAATTATCTTTATTAACATATAATGTATTATTTGCCCCAGGGATACAGATATGTGAATGGTCAGGCTTACACCTTTCCCAGCACTCCCCATAGCCCATACCCTCCCCAATGTCCATAACCCAACCACCCTATCCCTACCTGTCCACGCCCCCCAGCAACCCTCAGTCTGTTTTGTAAGATTAAGAGTCTCTTATGTTGGTCTCCCTCCTGATCCCATCTTGTTTCATATTTTCCTTCCCTACCACCAACAACGCCCCAGCCCTGCCTCTCAAATTCCTCATATCAGAGAGATCATATGATAATTGTCTTCTCTGATTGACTTATTTCGCTCAGCATAATACCTTCTAGTTCCATCCACATCACTGCAAATGGCAAGATTTCTTTTGATGGCTGCATATATTCCACTGTATGTATATACCACATCTTTATCCATTCATCTGTGGATGGACATCTAGGTTCTTTCCATAGTTTGGCTATTGTGGACATTGCTGCTATAAACATTCGGGTGCACGTGACCCTTCGGATCACTACATTTGTGTCTTTAGGGTAAATACCCAGTAGTGTGATTGCTGGGTCATAGGGTAGCTCTATTTTCAACTTTTTGAAGAACCTCCATGCTGTTTTCCAGAGTGGCTGTACCAGCTTGCATTCCCACTCTATTATATAGTTTTAAAATCACATATTTAATATCTGTAAGCAATGTATTGCATTGTTTTGGTTTTCAAAAGTACATGCATGGTGGGACTCAGTGGGTTAAGCTTCTGCCTTCAACTCAGGTCGTGAACTCAGGGTCCTGGGATCAAGCCCCAAAGCAGGGTCCCTGCTCAGCAGAGAGTCTTTTTCTCCCTCTTCCTCCGCTTCTCCCCCTGCTCGTGCGCTCTCTCTCTCTCAAATAAATAAATAAAATCTTTTTTTTTTTTTAAAAGTACATGCATATCTTCATGCTGTATGTATAATTCTGTGATCTGGTTCTTTCATCCAGCATTGTGTCTTGAGGTCTCTCCATGCTACTTTATAGATCTCTAGCTCATTGCCGCTAGTTTTGAGCACTCTGCTATCACGCAACACTATTTACTTATCCTTCTCCCCCTACAGATGGTCATTCACAGCAGGGCCAATTTTTTTTTATGATTACAAATAGTGCCTCAGCGAATGTCCTTGGACATATCTCCAGGTACAAATGTGTGAGAATTTCTCTAGGGTAGATTCCAAGAAACGGTGGGAGGCTGTGCTCATTTTCAACTTCACCGATTGCCAAGTTGCTCTCCAAAGTAATTATATCAACAATACTTCATAAAAGTTTCTTTCTTCTTTTCCCAACCACAGTCCCCACGTGTTACAACTGCCTCCCCACTTTTCTGCATCACCACTCCTGAACGCTCCCCCGCAGAAACGCTCCTCCAGCCCGTAGCCCCCACTCTAGCTCTTACAAAAGCCCGAGAACTGGTCTGGCAAGGCCTGAGTGAGGTCAAGGGAGGATCTGAGTCAAGCAGAGCAGAGACAAGGGTGTGGGGGAGGATTCGAGAATTTCTGGAACCAGCACGAGGTCATCATACGTGTTGAGTCAGAGGGATTTTGCCAGGTGACATGTAACAGGTGTTTTCAGGCCACTACTTCTTCCCAATGGGTCAGGGAAGGACCCTTGGACAGTTTCCCCTTGGACAGTTTATTTTAGAATAAAGGGCAGTCAGACCTATAAAATTCTACCCTGTGGAGCTCCTGAGGGCCTCCCACCCAGCCTCAGAGGGAGGCTAACTGCTGACACCCTCCTCATGGATGGGCAACAGGGAGTTAGGAAATCTTGCCTTAAAGTGTCAACAACTTGATCAATAATTCAGTGTTCTTGGGGCGCCTGGGTGGCTCAGTGGGTTAAAGCCTCTGCCTTTGGCTCAGGTCATGATCCCAGGGTCCTGGAATCGAGCCCCGAGTTGGGCTCTCTGCTCAGCGGGGAGCCTGTTTCCTCCTCTCTCTTTGTCTGCCTCTCTGTCTACTTGTGATCTCTGTCTGTCAAATAAATAAATAAAATCTTAAAAAAATAATTCAGTGTTCTCTTTTTAATCTCCAAGTCTTGATGATTCAAATCCTTTAAAAACCATATAGTCAATAATTTAATTTTTTATAAAAAGATTTATTTGGGAGAGAGAGAGACAAAGAGAGCACAAGCATGGGAAGGGGCAGAGGACAGGGAGAAGCAGACTCCTCACTGTGAAGAGAGGGCTCGATCCCAGGACACCAGGACCATGACCCGAGCCGAAGGCAGATGTTTAACCCACTGAGCCACCGAGGCACCCCAATAATTTGATTTTTTTAAGTAATGATTAGAGCATCAATGCCAACAACTTATTTTAGTTTTCTAAATCATGAAGAAAATCTCCATTTCTAAAAAGCACAATGTCAACACTTTATTTTTTTTTAAAGATTTTATTTATTTATTTGACAGGGAGAGATCACAAGTCGGCAGAGAGGCAAGCAGAGGGAGAGGGGAAGCAGGCTCCCTGCTGAGCAGAGAGCCCCACCTGGGACTCGGACTCGACTCCAGGACCCTGGGATCATGACCTGAGCTGAAGGCAGAGGCTTTAACCCACTGAGCCACCCAGGCACCCCTCAACACTTTTTTTTATAATGTCCTGCAGCACTCGGAAATATACTACTCATGTGGGGTTTTGTTTGTTTGTTTAAAGATTTTATTTATTTATTTGTCAGGGAGAGACAGAGAGCACAAGCAGGGGGAGCAGCAGGCAGAGGGAGAAGCAGGCCCCCACAGAGCAGGGGGAGCCCGATGTGGGACTCAATCCCAGGCACCTGAGCTGAAGGCCATTACTTAACCAACTGATCCGTCCAGGTGCCCTCAATAAACATTTATCCGGCCTGTGCTCAGTTTTAGGCATCAGAGACATGATGATGGGATAGTCACAGGTTTTGGCCCTGTGGCCAATTCTTCGAGTGGGTGAGATAGAAAATAAACAGATAATAACAATCCAGAGCAACAGGCTAGGAAGGGACTGTGTGGATGCCTTTAGAAGGGTTGGGGGGACAGCAAAGGCTGCTCGAGAGAGGCTCCATTTGAACTGGAACCTGGATGAGCAGGTGTCAGGAAAGGGTACCACGAGCAGAGATCACCAAAGAGGTGAAGATGAGCTTCTTGGGTTTGCAAAATAACTAGAAGGCCAGAGTGCCTGGAGCAGAGTGAGTGAATAACGGTGGGGAAAGATGAGGCATGTGGTGGCAAAGCACAAAGCTTCCATTTTTATCCTGAACGCTCTGATAACCTTACATTAGAGCCACAACATATATACTTTTCATATACATTCATAAACCTTTAAAATTGGAGCTGCTCTGGGACCTAAAGCGCTCCCCTGTCTCGCACTCCCACCCCACTCCAGCAGTCTTCTGAAGTAGTCCTAAGGAATCTAAGAATTGGAATGGGGGTGAGGGGAGGGCACCTAGAGGTCCTTAATGTAGTCCAACCCTCTCACTTTACAGATGGAGAAACCAAGGCTGAGAGGAGGTGAAAGGTGGAAACTGCTCTGTAGGAGTGAGTGGGGTAATGGCCACAGTCACTAGTGGAGGTAGGACTAAGGGCACAGGAAGGAGCTCTGGTTATCTAACCATCAGCTGGAGTATCTGGCAATCTAGAGGTTTACTGACCCAAAGTGGCAGTGTAGACAAAAGGCACATCCTCTTCCCCAGGGACATTGGCTGGGGGTGAGATGGGGTGGAGTTGGGGGTGTGGGAGGTTACCTGGAGGGTAGGGAGGCTTTGGGGGTAAGGGTCGTGATAACCCAGCAGGGGTTTTGGAAGTGCCCCTCTAATTCCTTAGCCTGTCCCATTTGGGTAGGGCAAATGGGTGGAGAGATAGGGACAGGAGCTCAGGTGGCCTACCTAACAGCCCAGTCCCTTCCCCTTCAAGGTTAAGAGCAAGGACATGGGAGGGCTGTCTCCGTTAGCATCTTTGCACTTCCTCTCACAAGCTGTGCTATCTTAACATGAGTACTTCCGACTCAAATCCAGGCTAAACCCAGACGCGAACCAGCGAAGTGTGACTTCAAATCTTCAGTTCTTAACCATCAGCAATTGGTAAGTAAGTCTTGAGGAAGAGCCACGCAGGGTTAAGGCCGAGCCTTCCATACACAGGACAGACAGACCGGCAAACCCACGCAGACACATGCCCACTTCTGTCTGCGTACAGACTTCTGTCTGTGCCCACTCCCTCCCATGAAGTGACTCCAGGGGGGCGCCACACAGGACCACTGCTTCCAAACAGCAGCCACCCAGCCATCTATTCTGGTTTCTTCCCTCTGGGTGGTGCAAAGGCTCAAGGGTGTAAACCTCAGGGTGGGGCGCTGAGTCAGCTGCGGGCGGCCACACTGGCGTGTCCCAATTTCCCGCTTCGACCTCTTTCCACCTCGCGGCTGCAAACTGCGGCTTAAAAAAATCAGAGAACTTCGCCTAAGCGGAGAAGCCACCTAGGCGTTACCCAAAGCTCCGCACGGTAGGAAGAACTGAGACTGAGGAAGGCCCAAAGCCCATCACGGGTTAAAACCACGGAGCCGCAGAGTACCGCCGAGGCCTAGAGAGGCCGCGCCCCTCTACCCTGTTTCCCTCCCCTTCACTTCCAACTTCCGGGCGGGGCGCCACTTCCGGTTCCGGCGGCTGGCTACAAAGCTTTGCGCTGGGTAGGTGGTTTCCTTTTTTCCGAGTCGGTTTCGGGCTTCGAGTCGGCTCTCGAGGAGCCCCCGCCCCCGTTGCCCCCACCCTCCGAGGTGGCACCTGCGCAGGTGAACGTCCCCTCCCTCCTTCCCTCCATCCCTCCCGACCGCCTCTCTTTTCCGGGCGCACGGTCTGTTGGGAGTGGGGGGCCGCGGCGGTGGTGGCGGTCGGCCTCGGAGCCGAGAAGCTCTGCTCGGGGACTCTGCAGGCCGCTCGGGCTAGAGTGGCATTGGAGCTCGCTTCAGCTCGGGAGGAGGAGGTCCTGGTCTGAACCCCTAGAAGTCTTTTTCCGGTCGGACCTAGACCCTCCGAGCCGCGCCCATGTGGTGGGAGGAGCCCGGCTCAGCTCCCCGCCTAGACGCGGGGAAATTTCTACTCAGCGGGGTGGTCCCACCTCCTTGGTCTTGTGACCTTGGGCAAATCCTCTCTCATCAGGCCTTAGTTTGGTTACGTGTGAATGGAAGTGACAGTAACTGCCCCTTCTGGGTTATGGGGAGGATTGGATGAGGGGAAAGCGTCCGCGGAGTGTCTGGCGGGTAAAACTCAAATAGCATCGGCTGCTGCTGTTAATAGAGACAGCTGGGGCAGTAGAGAGTCGTATCGGGAGTTTAACTAGAGTGGCTGGGAGGATCACGTAGCAGAATGTAAATTGCCTAGCACAGTGTCAGCTAGGAAGTAAGTGCTCAGTAAGTCGGCATTATTAACGGATGAGGGTGAGCATTGTGTCTGGTCATTGATCTTCAAAAACTGATAGGATTTATAAGCTTTTTAAGTAAATCGTGGAGTTTGTCCATTTTTCAAATCCAGCCTTGAGAACTGGCCTCCTGACAACTGAGACTATTCTTAGAAGTCGGGGTTGTAAAGACCTCTGGGGCTGGGAGCTAGAAGTATTAATAAAAGGGTGTTTTCCTAAGCGTGTTACGGGTTTTTCCCTCAGAAGGGTTTTGGGCAGGTGCAGAATGTTTGCTTCCTTTTGAATTAGGAAAGTAATACATAGTTGCAGTTAAAAAGAAAGCAATATAGAAAGATAGGGAATGGAAAATGTTTCTTCTGTCCCTGCCCCTCAAAAGTAAATACAGTTGAAGGTAGTGTTTGTGATAGATCTGGTCTTCTGTGCTTGTGTATGTATTTTAATTTCCCCAGGTGGGATCATACGGTCAGGTGGTGATGTGTTATGGACGCCTGTTTGTATCAGCACTCACAGGCCGAGTTCATGCTTCATAAGATTGCCCTTATTCCGTTAAATGGCCGAATTATTTCCCTGTTGATGGTCACTTAGGTTGTTCCCAGGATTTTGCTGTCTCACATTTCATCCAACCTTTCCTTGACTAAATATTTCCTTTTTTTTCCAAGGCACCCCTGAGTTATGGGGATGTTTTGCTTTGGGCTTCATCATGCTAGGTTAGTGACAGCTTACTTTTGGGGAAGAGAACATGCTGTTGATAGAGCAAAAACCCAGTAGTATGAAAAGAATAAGTGTGTTCTAGGAATATCTAAACGGCAGGGTCTGGAATCAATTCAGGTTTTCTAGAAAATGGGTTATGAAACATTTGAAGAAGAGGTGACTAGGATCTGAGAACTAGTTAATGCAAGGCCCCTGGTCAGTGTTGGTGATTGTTGGCCTCTGTCAGTTGTTACCCAGAAAACAGATTTGAGACAGTCTCTGAGTCCGAAGAAATTTTAAATGTCAACACTCCTGCTTCGTGGACTGGGGAGGAATTAGATCTTGGGGGAGGGCGTTTGTTAATGAAAAAAAAAGAGATGACCTTTGATAACTGACCACATCATAGGAGTCGTACTCTTTGATTAGACATACCCGGATGTGGAAATTAATTTAGTCATTTCTGTACTGTCACTTGAAGTCTCTCTCTGTCTCCCTCTTTTTTAATAACATAGATTGTGGTTTTCCTATATGTAACCTTTCTCTTGGATTGGGGCCCTAACCCAAATGAAACAAAGCCTTTTTTTCCTAGCATTTTACACGTATTTAGGGTGCCTCTCCTCCCCTGCCCCACTCCAGCTGTTTTGCTAATCTTAGTGCTGACAATCATCCGGAGTTGGACATGTATGCTACTAGAATTCTGACTAGTTCAGTTTTCCATATACTGATTAGAGGAACTTAGAGATTTTATTTGTTTGGGAGAGGGAGAGAAAGAGCATGCATGCGTGCACACAAGAGCCCATACCTTGGAGCACAGGGAGGGGCTGAGAGAGAAAGAGAGGGAGAAGCTCCAGCAGAATCCCTGCTGAACATGGAGATCATGACCTCCTGCTGAAATCCCAGAGTCAGGCTTCAACCAACTGAGCCACCGGGGCAGCCCTGATGAGCTGATTAGAGGAACTTAGGATCTTGATCTTAGCACAGAGGCTTTTCTATTCCTTCCTTTCCTTTTTTGTGAAGAGGGGATTTAGGTTTAACCCTGATGGTAGCTCCTAAAGTACTTTTTTTTTTTTTAAGATTTTATTTATTTATTTGACAGACAGAGATCACAAGTAGGCAGAGAGACCCACAGAGAGAGAGAGAGGAAGGGACGCAGGCTCCCTGCTGAGCAGAGAGCCCGACATGTGGCTTGATCCCAGGACCCTGAGATCATGACCTGAGCTGAAGGCAGAGGCTTTAACCCACTGAGCCACCCAGGTGTCTCTAAAGTACTTTTTATTTTATTTATTTTTAAAGATTTCATTTATTTGAGAGAATGAGTGAGCCAAGTGAGCAGGAGCATGGGGGGGGGTTGGTGAGAGGGAGAAGCAGGCGCCCCACCAAACAGGGAGCCTGACCTGGGGCTTGATTCCCAAGACCCTGAGATCATGATCTGAGCCCAAGGCAGATGCTTAACTGGCTGAGCCACCCAGGTGCCCCCTAAAGTACTTTTTAACACTTGTTATTCTTTCATCATAAAAGAGATTGGGTGGGGGGGTCAGAAAAGACAGCAGAGTAGATGTCAGTGAAGAGACCTTTATCTCTTATGTTTTCAGTAGTTCCTCATAACTTGCTTTTGGACATGCACAACTCCATAAAAGACATTGGTGGAAGCAAACACCTGTGATTTTAAAGATTCTCCCTCCTGGGGTGCCTGGGTGGCTCAGTGGGTTAAAGCCTCTGCCTTCGGCTCAGGTCATGGTCTCAGGGTCCTGGGATTGAGCCCCGCATCAGGCTCTCTGCTCAGCGGGGAGCCTGCTTCCTCCTCTCTCCCTGCCTGCCTCACTGACTACTTGCAATCTCTGTCTGTCAAATAAATAAATAAAATCTTTAAAAAAAAAAAAGATTCTCCTATAAATCATGTGAATGCATAGTTTTTTATTTTAACATAATGTAAAATACTTTGTAATGCAGGGAAAATGAATGAAATATTCCTTACAAGATTCTCTGGTTAGTGAGGCCGGCATTCTTCATCCTCTCTGCTTTGAGAATCTACATTCTTCATTTTGGTAAACAACTGCCACATTTTTCTCAATTGTGTCAATTGATCCAGAGGAAACAAAAATAGAATTTCTAGTAGCTTTATTAAGAAATCCTGTTAAGATTGGAAAGCTGATGGAACTTGGGTCTGGAACAGATCCACAAGATCAAGGTGGTTTTAACAGTCTCTGGTCTGTTTTTTGCTGAGCCTGTCTTTTCTCTGTGTTTAGGAGTCTTCGACCTCCTTTTCCAGAGTTCCAGAATGGAGACTGAAGGGTATCTAGAGGCACAAAGAAATAGAGAAGCCCAGAATGATAAAATGAGGTCACCATCAAATGAGATGATGGCTGAGGAGCCAGAAGTTGTTCTAATACCGGCTCCCCAGGTCCAGGCTCCTCGAGAGCCTTCTGGGCTTCCACAAGAGAGCCTTGATGAAGACTCTCTCGAAGACCTTGAGACCATGCCACGAAGGAATCCTCCCAACGCAGCAGCCTCCAGGCAGAGGTTCCGGAAATTTCGCTATGAAGATGGAGCTGGGCCCAGGGATGTCCTCAGACATCTGCAAGAGCTTGCCGGACAGTGGCTGAGACCCGATATTCACACAAAGGAGCAGATTGTGGAGATGCTGGTTCAGGAGCAGTTCCAGGCTGTCCTGCCCGAGGAGCTCAGAGCTCGGGCCCAGAGATGTCAGCCTGGGGTCAGAATCACTGGCTAAATCCTGCCACAGGGTTCTTGCTCAGCCTACACATGAGAAGTAACCAAACGTTCTCTTTGTTGCAGGAGCCAACAACAGTCATGGAGAAATGTGAACCTCGGGGGTTTTTTTGTTTTTGTTTTTTTTTCTTTCGGCTTGCCTTTGACTAGTTGTGATAAGAACCCATCAGAACCCATGTTTGGACCTCTCTCCCGCGGAGGCAGCTCTAATTCCTGGGACTGAGCTCCAGAAAGAGCTTCTGTTAGGACCCTCTTGTTAGGACAATCAGCCTGTTGCTTGTTCTTGCTCTGCTGAATGCCTCCTTTTTTGCACTTTCTGACATGCTTTAATATATTGTTATGTATCCAAAGAGGTAATTGCTTCAACTTTCAGAATTCTTGATTCTTGCTGTGGCGGCATGAATGGAAGCTTCTGTAACCCCACCAGTAACTCATCTGAGATGTCCTTGAACTATTAAAAGTTTAGTGCTTAATCACAATGTCCTGTGGTGATTTGCCAGTTTAGCTTTGACTCAGCATTTGAGAAAGTTGAGATAATTATCAGGAGTAGATGTGAGCTAGAGATAAGACAGGAGCAGGTAGCCCTTTGTGTGCAGTCAGAATTTAAATTCCATCTGAGAAGGGGATAAAACAGGGTCCTCCCAAGCGAGTAACTCTTGGATCTGTTTGATTTGCTTTCCCTGTTTCCATGGCCTGTGTTCCACAGCTTGTCACCCCCACAAGAGAACTAAAGCTATCTGACCATTCTCTGCTGCTCCTCCTGAAGCAGGTCACCCTGCTTTCTGTGTGTGGAGACGTGTGCTTTGGTTGACGGCTGAGAAAGCAGTCCGTAGCTGTGGTTGTGTTAGGCAGAGAGTAAACAGCAGCTGCTTTTCCTCAGTGTGACCCAGTCTTGAGGAACCTTTCTGCCTCTGTGGCCTGGCTGTTGGATTTGTACATCTGCTGTAATCAACTTGCTGCCAGTTCAGAAACTAATCTTTGGAAGAGGGACTGGTTAGCTCCAAGCTGGAACTCGTGTTTATTCTGCCGGTGTGTTAATACTTCCTGTGCCTTCCGGACTGGTCTAGATGCTAGGACACAAATACAAAACCCAGTGAAGAAGAAATGTATAGTTTTTGAAGAGAGAGGAAGATGTTGAGCTCTATGGGTAGGATCATTAGTAAAACTAGTCTTCCTTTTTTTTTTTTTTTAAGATTTTGTTTATTTGAGAGAAAGCATGTGCAGGGGTAAAGACCGTGGGAGAGGGAGCAGAACAAGCAGACCTTCCCCTTGCTGAGCACAGAGCCTGATGTGGGGCTCAATCCCAGGACCCTGAGATCCTGACCTGAGCCAAAGTCAGACATTTGACTGAGCCACCCAGGTGCTCCAAAAACACATTTCCTATTTAAACACGCACGCACTCACACACACACACACACACACACACACACTGTCTCTCTCTCTCTAAAAGCAGAGGAGAGAGGAAATAGCCAAGTTAGGGAAGTGAGATTTTTTTTTTTTAAGATTTTATTTATTTATTTGATAGAGATCACAAGTAGGCAGAGAGAGACGGGAAGTAGGCTCCCTGCTCAGCAGAGAGCCTGATGTATGGAGCTCGATTCCAGGACCCTGAGACCATGACCTTAAGCCGAAGGCAGAGGCTTTAACCCACTGAGCCACCCAGGCGCCCCGCGAAGTGAGATTTTAATTGGACTTGCGTGGGAGATGACAGAATCCCACCTTGAGACAAAGTGTGGAAATGCTTGGGGGATAGCAAACATACAGAAGGGTGAACTGTGCCTTTTTTTTTTTTTTAAAGATTTTATTTATTTGAGAGAGAGACTGAGAGAGAGCATGAGTGAGGAGAAGGTCAGAGGGAGAAGCAGACTCCCCATGGAGCTGGGAGCCCGATGTGGGACTCGATCCCGGGACCCCGGGATCATGACCTGAGCCGAAGGCAGTCATCCAACCAACTGAGCCACCCAGGCGTCCCTGAACTGTGCCTTTTATTGACTAGGTTAAGCTTTTCTTTCTTTTTAAAACCATTTTATTTTATTTATTTTTTATTTTATTTATTTATTTGACAGATCACAAATAGGCAGAGAGGTAAGCAGAGAGGGAGAGAGAGGGAAGCAGGCTCCCTGCTGAGCAGAGAGCCCAATGTGGGGCTCGATCCCAGGATCCTGGGATCATGACCTGAGCCGAAGGCAGAGGCTTTAACGCACTGAGCCACCCAGGCGCCCCAACCATTTTATTTTTTAAATATTTTATTTATTTGATAGCACAAGCCAGGGGGAGCAGCAGGCAGGGAGAGGGAGGAGCAGGCTTCCCCCTGAGCAGGGAGCTGGATGCATGGCTCGATTCCAGGACCCTGGGAACGTGACCTGAGCTAAAGGCAGATGCTTAACCATCTGAGCTACCCAGGTAGCCCTAAAACCATTTTAATTTAAAGATTTTATTTTTTATCCAGTCCTCTCTACAGACCCAACGTGGGTCTCAATCTGACAACCCTGAGATCAACAGTCAGTCTGACAGAGCCATCTAGATGCCGCATAGGTGAATTTCTAGTCCTAATTCTAAGAGTAAAATTTAACATTGGCAAAGGAGTTAGGAACCACGGTAGGGTTGGAGTATCTTCAATACTTTCATTTGTTCAGAGCATTATGAAAGTATTTCCGTTAGTCTGCCAAGATCAGGAACTCCTGGTGTTAAGAATTTCCTGGCCTGTACCCGTTTCTCAGCTGCTTCGGTGATCTGGAATATACTGTTAAGTATTAAGGAGCCGATTTTCCTGGTGGACCCAGAAGTTACCACCTTCGGGATTGTATGGCTTGACGGCGGAAATGTCCTAAGTTAATGTAGCACAGATTTTCTCAACATGGGCAATTTGGAGTCAGAGAATTCTCTTCTGTGGAGGCTCGTCTTGGGCATTACAGGATGTTCAGCAGCATCTGTAGTCTCTCCTCACCAGCTGTCGATAGCACCGCACTGAAGAGACAACCAAAAATGTCTCCAGACGTTGCCAAATGTTCCTCGGGGGCAAACTGGCCTTTAGTTGAAAACTGGCTAAACAGGAGAGTTGGTCACGGATACGCCACGGTTACCTTGGGATCCCTGGTCTCTTAAGCTTCATGTTGAATTGAGAAAGCTCTACGGTATAAGTTGGGTTTCATGTTGGAGTGTCCAGCTGGTTCAGCTGGTAGAGCGTGCGACTGAATCTCAGGGTCATGAGTTCAAGCCACACTTTGGGCATGGAGGCTACTTAAAAAAGTTGGGTTTCATATTCCCTGCATATGTTTGGGTAATGTCACCTACTCTGGCAAATCTTAAATTCTTTGCTACAAGGATTAAAATGATCCCTCCAACTCTTGCCATTCTATTGAGATGGTTTACCATGTGCTAGGATAGATGCATTTGTGATTCATTTAATCCTTATTGTCATCTGACTTCACCTATTTATATAAATATACCTGCTTTACAGATAAGAAAACGAGATTTGCCAGCTACGCTAGATGGCCAAGAAAATGGTGAAGATGGGATCTAAGCCTGGGATTTCTGTCCCCCTCATCTTGGGCTTTTTCTATCATGTCTGGAAGTAGGACTTGAACAAGCATCTCTTGAGAATCTCCTGCATGCAAGATGTTTCTTCTTTTCCTTTTTCCCATCTTTATCTTACAATTTTTTAAGATTTTATTTGAGAGAGAGGGAGAGAGCTCAAGCAGGGGGAGGGACAGAGGGAGAAGGAGAGGCAGATTCCCTGCTGTGCAGGGAGCCAGACTGGGGGCCTCATCCCAGGACCCTGGGATCATGACCTGATCCCAGGTCATCTTACAATTTAGAATAACATTCCTTAGCTTCATTTGATAGAGAAAAAGTATAAAAACAAGAATGGCCCATAATCTCACTTCCTAGGGAACTCCCATTGACATTTTTCAAAGCAGAAGATATATTTGCACGTGGATAGAAAAGTCCAAAAAGCATGGAAGGGAATAAAAGGAAAATGTAAAGTCTCTTCCCATTAACAGTCTGTTACAAATCTTTCCAGAAGTTATCAGTTACACAGATGTAATCATATACACATGTGGGTGCACACAGGCATATGTCCCTTTTTTATTTACACGAAATGCATGTTTAGGTTATATATTTTTCTTGACCAATAGGTCTTGGTGTCTGTTGCTATCAACATACAGAGATTTGCTTCATTAAAAAAAAGTTTTTTTTAAGCAGCTGCAGAGTAGTTCCTTCTATGGCTAATACCTAGCTTTGTACTTTCAGTAAAAAAAATGCAAGAGAGAGGATTTAGGTATGGGGTCAAACCTCTAAAGCATAACATGTTTAGAGAGGTAAGTGACAGAGCCACAACTTAACCCCACAACCTCCACACCCTGACAGCAGAACTGGTAGAATTCACAGTGCCCCAGCACCATGTCCTGGCAACCCTGTGGTCCGAGCTCTTTCCCATGGAAGTGAATTTACAGATGAGGCTCCTTGCCCCCAGACAAACCCAGTAAAAGGAGAGGCTGGAGTCCATCTCCATTTCATCTGGCTCCAGCCCCATGCCCTTGTCCTGAGGTCACACTGCCTGGATATCAAAGAGCAGACCAAGTCCAGCGTTTTGAGAGGTCTGTGGGGATTTGAGAGAACAGTAATTCCCTGTCTCTGTTGCCACCTCCCGAGATGATTCCTGTGCTTTCTCTTTGCAGTCTGCATGACCCAGCTACCGCTGTCATTGTCGTTAAAAAAAAAAAAAAATTCATTTAGTTATTAAGGAGGGAGAGAGAGCACAAGCTGGGGGAGGGGCACAGGGAGAGAATCTCAAGCAGATCCCCGCTGAGGGTGAAGCCCGATGTGGGGCTGATCTGTGATTGATGAGATCATGATCTGAGCTGAAACCCGATGCCCAACCACTGAGCCACCCAGGCACCCCGGTCATTGTCATTTCTTGAGTCCATCTAGAGCCTAGTTCTAAAGAACCCTAAACACTTTGAATTCTGTGAGAGGAAAGAGGAGGAAAATGCAGAACAACCCGAGGGAAGTCCTTCTCAACCGTACCCTGTGTCTAATTTTCCCTTTGTGATTGTTTTGATTTCCAAGTTCTGCAAAAGAATAATTTCATCTAGTTATTGAAAAATGCTCCTGCCAGATGGCTACTGGTGAAAACCAGTGTTAGGACCACAAGGTAATTTGAGATTCTGAGCAACTGGCTGGTGCCATGGAAAAATATGTCATCTATTGGGCAGCTACTCCCTGAGCAGTGAGTGGGTGCCAGGGCCTGGCTGCCAGAGAGGAGGCCAGCTCTGCGGGGTGTGCGGACCATGAGGAGTCCACTGTGATGGTGGCGGCGCCTGGAGCACTAAAGTGTAGCTGGCCCTTCCAGGAGCATCGTGTGTGGTCACTTTCCATGGGCAGCTCAGCTCAACGCTCTTGACAATGGCTTGACTATTTTGCTAAGCATTTTCCACCCACTGCCAGGCATTTATTGGACATTTTCCCT